GGCCAGGGGACTGACAGGTGAAGGAGCTGACGGGCCAGGGGACTGACAGGTGAAGGAGCTGACGGGCCAGGGGGCTGACAGGTGATGGAGCTGACGGATGACGGGCCAGGGGGGCTGACCGGTGAAGGAGCTGACGGATGACGGGCCAGGGGGGCTGACAGGTGAAGGAGCTGACGGGCCAGGGGGGCTGACAGGTGACGGAGCTGACGGGCCAGGGGGGCTATCAGGTGACGGAGCTGACGGATGACGGGCCAGGGGGGCTGACAGGTGACAGAAGTGACAGCTCCAGGAGCTCACGGCCGTCTTTGCCCGTCTCCCCGCAGCAATGACAAGCTGAAGATCCACATGCGCAAGCACACGGGCGAGCGCCCGTACAGCTGCCCGCACTGCCCGGCCCGCTTCCTGCACAGCTACGACCTGAAGAACCACCTGTCCCTGCACAGCGGCGACCGGCCCTTCGAGTGCCCGCTGTGCCACAAGGCCTTCGCCCGCGACGACCACCTGCAGCGGCACCTCAAGGGCCAGAACTGCCTGGAGGTGCGCACCCGCCGGCCACGCCGCGGGCCCGGAGACCCCGCCCTCCCGCTGGAGCCCGGGCTGGCGCCCCCGCTGATGGCCCCCCACCCACTCCTGTACGGCCGGCCCGACAGCCCGCCCCTCTCCCTCCTGGGGCGCCACTCCTACGGCGGCTTCTTCTGGGGGAGGGGGGCCGAGTCCACGACCCCCCCCTCGCCGGCCGCCGACGGCCCCCCCTCCTGGGAAGGCCGAGACTCCTCCGAGGAGCTGTGACCCCCCCCCCGTCTCCGTGGCGCTGAGGGGCTAAGGGGGGCCCCACTCAGGGAAAGACGGGGTACCTGAGACTGTGCCGCAGTCGTCACCTGGGCCGGCTCTGTGTTGTTTGCAGCTTGGTTTCTTTGCTTTGTTCGAATTCTTCTGAACCTAATTACTGCAAGGATCATGGTTTTGGTTTAGAAAATGGCAATAATATCGTTCTCTTTGTTGTTTTTTTTATTTTTGGAGTTTAGGTTTAAGGTACAGGGGTACAGGAGGGGGTGTCTGCCATCACTATGCAAAACAGTTAGAACCCCCCCCCAAAAGCCAGCGGCGGGAGAGAAGGGGAGCCTGGTGCCCCCTCTCTCCTGCGGGGCTGCAGACCAGCGGGCTCTCCTCTTGGGGTCCTCTGTTGGGCCTGCTGGCGGTGCTCCTGTCTGCTGGTGTCGCAGGGCGAAGGGGTCCCCAGCACTCTGCTCTGCAGGTGCGCCTGGACGATCGCTGTGTCCCGGGTGGGGACGTGGGACTTCAGGGGACACAGACCTTCTGTCCTGTTGAAAGAAATCGCTTTGCTCCGGTTGCACACGCTTGGTGCTCATAGTGAAGCAAAAGCAGAGACCGCCACCTGCTGTCCAAACTGTGATATTACATACGGTTCTGTCTGTGAGCATCTCGGCACATCTCAAAGGCACTATAGTTTAAACACCAAAGTGATGAGCTGAAAATAGCTGTTTACTAGATTTCCTTTTCACAAACCTACAGTCCAGGTGTTCCTCAGACCAGGGTTCAAGGGTAAATATTGCATTATACAACTTTAAGTATCCTGCAGTCCTTCTCCTATGCAATTGCTCTGATACTTACGTTAAAGGACCAAAATGGCCAGCTGGATTTTCCCCAGTTCCAGGCTGGGATTCTCCTGCTTAAACAGGCGGCTGAGGTTTCAGGCAGTTCAGGACCAATCAACCAGACGATCAATAATTCAGTCCCACCAGCTCTCGGATAACAGAGGACTGCAGGATCAATGAATGAATGAATGTACACAAGTTCACAAGTACCTGTCTGTAAATAATTCACAGATATTTGCACTTAGCTCAGACGAGGGGAGGGGGGGGGAAACTTGAAAGCACCTCTGTGCAATAAGAGCGCGCGTTCTGTGTGCGCCGGGGGCCTGTCCACAGCCGGCAGAGGGCTCGAACCCGTGTCTGAACAGGACAGCCGGGCAAGCCCGAGGAGGCGGGGGGGATAACTCCCAAGCGCAAATCAAATTCTGGACTCGATTTCCAATTCGCCGCGCGCCTGTGGTTCTGGGAGAGCCCCCGAGCACGCCCCGAACGCCGGCGCCCCCTGGCGGTCGCTCCGACAAGGGACGCTCACCTGAGAACGGCCAAGTGAGAACGGTCTTCTCCTTCGTCTTCTGATGCCTTTAAGGAAAGGGCCCTCCTGTGCCGCGGTGCACAGTCC